GTATAATGTAATAGATGATTTAGAGGTAAAAGTTTTTGGATATATTATTTATTTTATATGTGGAAATGTTCATATTTGTAAAGGGTAAATACTTTTTCGCGAACAGGTAATTTCATATATGTTCTTTTTATCGGGTTTAAAGATTGAGAAAATTGTCATGTATTTTCGTGAAATTTTTCTAATTTATGAGAAAAAAGCAGTGTACATGTATATAGTGAAGAGTGTGCGCAATGCCATTTTTGTGCAATTCTGGGATTTTTTTTAAGTAAAAATAAGTCGGCGTGTACATGGTTTATGTGTATGTGTTATTTTGAAAAACGCGTAAGGAGTATGGTATTGTGCACTTTTTCCCAATTTTGCAGTGAATATTTGTCATAATTAAGCAGTTTTGTTTGATAAAATTTCTAGCATAAGTGTAATTCGGCTACTAGATTGTTGGAAGAAGTGTTCAGTAGATAAAAAGAAAAGAAACATGTCTTTACTTCATGAAGACAAAATGGCGGCGGGGAAAAAAAATAGAGGGTTGCTGTAGGAGAGTTGGTTGCCTAATTTTTGCCAAAAAATCGCCAAGTTACCATAAATTAAAGATCAACCAAAGTGGTTTCATGCAAATTACCCTTTTTTTTGTTATAAAAAATATTCTTTGTCTGTCTTGAGCATTTTTGCTATTTGTTGAGGAGCAGCCGAATTAAATGGCAAGTGTAAAAATTAGATTCATTAGAGTTATCTTTAACCCCTTAAGGACCAGTACCGGAAGAACGAAGCACAGTCAAGGGACCGGACCCGCTGAAATGTATCGTCGCCACCGGCCCATGCATTTTCTAAGCCTAATTTTTAAAAAAATCGTATAAAATCAGCTTTTTGATATTATGACTCCAATTTTTTAAGTTGTGTATTTAATGTATTTGTTTTTAATGTGTATTAATGTAAAGAATATCACATTAATAGAAATAAATTAAACAGGCAAAATACTAAAATCATAACTATACAAGCAGAAATAAATACTATAAACATGGGGAAAAAATTACAAATATGAAATAAATAAATAAATGAATAAATAAATAAAAACTAAACAAGAATTACTTGTAGGTAACTAAATTCCAATTTAAAAATTCTGCTCTGTGTAAAATAACTCAAAACAAGGATCGACACTCAGTCCGACATTGCATATTTCACACTCAAAATACGTAGTTTGCTTTCACTTTAACGCACACAATGCATCTTCTCCTACCTTTTCCGTCAACGTAACTTTTGGAAACTGTCTTCCAGTTAGATGGAAAGGTGGGGTCCGGTGATTTTGGACAAATTTTTAAGTTTTTAAATAAGGTCTCTTAGGCATGGCTAACGGAATGAAACTGAATATAACCCCAACACATGTCCCAAAACTTCCTCAAAAGACACTCAGAAATATCTCATCCTCAAACACTCTGTGACATCAAGTTTATATTAGAAAACTTCCTGTTTTTCTTAATCGAAAACAGCGTCCACAATGACCGGAAAGTGATCAAGGAAAGACCCACACTGGCGGGAATATCCATTACTGATCACGTCATTATATACATTGTATATGATTACATTATTTGTAAAGTAAATACATTATATACCAAAATATAATGCTGTGTTATCTATGACCATTCAAATCGAGTAAGATTATATATGAACGCTGACCTCTTTCCTGAGAAAATGTGAGCAAGACTCATTACGCGTTGAGAAAGCTGACAGTCTTTTCCCTTCTGTAATAATGTTGTAATGTTACTTTTTAATTAACCAAGAAAGCTTATGTTAAGTTTCAAAATAAATAGAAAAAAAGGCTAATCTTTGGAATATGGTAACAGGTAGTTTGGCGACATTTTGGTAAAGGCGATAAAGGTTACTAGCTAGAACTGTAGCAGTGTACATGGATAAAGTCAAGAGCATGCGCAATGCCATTTTTGTGCAATTCTGGGATGTTTTTTAAGTGAAAATAGGTCGATGTGTACATGGTTACTGTGTATGTGCAATTCTTAAAAACGCGGCAAGCAGTGGGTGATTCTACACTTTCTCCCAATTTCGCACCTAATCTTCGTCATGATTAAGCACTTTTGTTCCATAAAAGTTCTAGAATAAGCGTAATTTTGCTAGCAGATTGTTGGAAAAAAATGTTGAGTTAAAAAAAAAAAAAAAAAAACATGCTTTTACAAAACAAAATGAAAACAAAATGGCGTCCAAACAAAAACTAGCAGGTTGCTGTAGCAGGGTTGGTCGCCAAATTTTCACCAAAAAATCGTCAAGTTACCATAATCCAAAGATTTACCAAAAAAAAAAAAATCCTAACGAGCAAAAATGCCTGTGCCCTTTTAATTCACAGGTACACTTATAAATAGCCATGATTTCCAGTTTGTTTACTTCAATAAATCTCTCAAAACCAAAAATTAATGCCAGTACATGAAGGTGAAATGCCGTATGCATCAACCCATGTGAAAACAATTACGACTTAGTTCCTTTTACTGGCTTTTAAAAATTCAAATAAATCATTCCATTTTAATGTCACGTACGTATACGTAATGCTGGGCTCATAAGAGCAGAATCGTTGTGTCGCACGTACATGACGCTGGACTAGTAGGAGTGGAATCGTTGTGTTGCGTATACGTGACGCTGGTCCTGAACGGGTAAATAAACTAAAATAATAGAGCAGTTCTTGAAGGAAATCACCATTCATATCATCCTGATGACACAAGGGGCAACAAATTGAATCCTGAACTCCAATCCAATGTAAATGACGCTGTAAATAAAAATGGCCAGTTGTCAAATGAAAGTAAGCAACTCCAACAGACCAAGGTAAGGAACTGAGGATTTTGGTCAGATATGCATACCTCACATCTTGATTTCATAGACTTTAAGCAACTGTTAATCAGGTCTTGTGGAAATGCACGTCGCACTTCTAAAAGTGCCCTTTAGGGTCCAAGGAGAAATTTGTCCAAGTGTTCATCAGCGAGTCTGTTTCTGTACAATGGAATCTCGAAATATGAGCACCTCTATATACGAGTAATTCGAGATAAGAAGAAAGTATGAGTGAAAAATTTGTTTCTAAATATGAGCGTTGACTCGAGTAACGAGCAATAAGCCAGGCTGTTGGTATGCGTGGCACCATTTGCTTATCTGGCTCGACTTGGGGAATCCCCATTGTTATATCACTCAGTGTTCTTTGATCTATGTGTTTGTGCACTTGTGAATCGATTGTTTATTACATTTAACATGAAATTAATTATTTCATGATGCCTCCCAAGAAGATTGTTGCCTCAGATAGTGCTGCAAAGAAATTTAATCCCGGAACAGTAACTTAAAGGGAAAAAAATATTTTAAGGTCTTCTTTTGGGTAAAGATAGAGAAGAGGGGATAACTATTTATAACATGGTACCTACTGTGAGTTGTGAAGGTGAAGTTATGGAGCATAACCCACCAATTCTATATGATGTTGAAATGGCAATTAAAAAGTTAATAATAATAAATGAGCTACATCAGATGGCATCAAGGCGGAGGTTTTAAATATCAATGAAACGGATTTAAGTAAAGCAATCCATTATCTTGTATAAATGATTGCTTACATATACTTCTAATGCTATTGAGAATTACCAATGCAGATTCCAGAAGGAAAAAACAACAACTGATCAATTGCATTCTATTAGACAAACCTTGGAAAGAACTAAAGAACATAACATTGACACCTGCCACTTGTTCGTTGACTTTAAAGCTGCCTATGACAGTATTAACAGAGAAAAACTACTTGAAGCCGTGTTGGAATTGAATATCCCGAAGAAACTGATAAGTCTCACAAAGATGACGCATAAAAAGTGATATGTAGAATAAAACTTTCAACATATCTTTCAGAACCTTTTTATACTGAGAAAGGATTAAGACAGGCAGACTCACTATCTTGCCACTTGTTTAATATAGCTCTAGAAAAGGCCATAAGAGACTCTAGAATAAATACAAGTGAACCATCTTGCACAGAACCCTTCAACTGCTGGCTTTTGCCGATGATATTGATATCGGCAAAAAGCCAGCAGTTGAATGGTTATTATTGATGATATTGTTATCATTGAGTCATATCAAAATATCACCGATCGCAGCACAGTCGAGGTATTTGTCTCTCTTGAAAATGCAGCAAGAAAGATGAGCCTAATCATTAATGAAGACAAAACTAAATATATGATTGCATCTAATAAAACTGTTGATGTAATAAAACTGAATCTAATACTGTTGATGAAATAAAATGGCATGTAATAAAACTGCTGTTCCCTTGAAGATAAACAGTTATACCTTTGAAACAGTAAAACAATTTAAATATCAGGGCACATTGATCACAGTTTGCAACTATATAAAAATTGAAATAAAAAACAGTATATTTATGGCTACTACGGCCTTAAAAAAATGTAAATCCAAACCAATCAACATAGAAACTAAATTAAATTACATAAAACTTTATTAAGACCTCTTGCCCTTTATGGAAGTGAATGTTGGATACTATCAGAGCAGAAAAAGACACGATGTTAGCTTTTAAAAGCAAAGTTCTCAGAAAGATCTTTGCACAAGTACAGCAAAGCAAAATGGCATATGGAAGATGCTCTAATCGTGAACTATATGAAAAATATAGAAAACTGATATTGTGAGAATCGTAAAGGCATCTCGTATCAGATGGTTGGGCCATGTGTTTTAGGTATGATGATATACTTTCAACCAAAAAGATATCTTTTTTAAGAATTGAAGGAGTAAGACAAAAAAGGAAGACCACCCAGTAGATGGATAGATGATGTCGGGAAAGATTTTGAGGTTAATTGGAGTTAACCCGTAGAGGGCTATTGTGCCAAATGAGCTCAGGTGGAGGAAACTTGGAGAGACAGTCTTGGCCTGTAACAGGCTGTGGAGCTTATGAAGAAGAAAGTTATAATATATATTACTTACTTTCATACTTTTATATTTATGAATTTACAAATTTATCTGAAAATGTATTTTTATTTTAGGTGGGGCTACAAAACTTGTTTCTCATGAAGCTACCAAATTTTGCTTAGCATTTGGCAAAGAACCTTTACCTTCTCCTGAAGAATGCCAAATTCTTGCTAATAAAACTGAAGAAAGCTGTTTAGCTCTCTTGACAGTTTTCTTTAGTCTTCCAAAATCAAAAGGTATGTAGAGGCTTTATAGTATGAAGCTGTTTCAATAAATAAAATTTTTTCAAATCTTGTATTAATAATGTAATTGCTTGTGAAACTGATAAATAAATTCAGTCTGTAAATCAAACAAAATCAATCCTAAAATCAAGCCTTATAATACCCCTGACATTAAAAAAATATGACCCTTGATATTTTTTGTATGAATTTAGGTGTAGGTACTTAGGTTATGTAAATTATTGTAGCTATCAGTTTATTGTATCATATTGAAGCTATCAGTTTCACATCATAAGAAATAAAATATTTATTAGAAATTGTATACAGTCAAAAGTCGTTAATCCGGACTCGTCAGGACTTCGGCAATTCCGGATTATTGATTTTTCCGGATTATAAATCATCAGTTTAAATCTGGTAAGATGGCATGCAGAAATTATAAAATTAAAAATATGAAACGGTAATTTATGAAATAAAGGACAATTATGATCTAAAGGGTATCAAAATTTACAAAAAAAAAAAAAAAAAAAGGCTTAATATTTATTTGTTTACTTTATTAAACATTTCTTTCAATGTAAGTTGTTTAAGTTGCTTCGTTTTATGTGATAATACTTTCTCTTTAATTCTATAAACAGACATAATTTCTTGTTCAGTTACAAAGTTCTGCTGTTCAAGTCCCGTAATTGCTGTGCCGAGAATACCGACTAATTTGCCAATCGAAATTTTTTCGTTTTCAATAACCTCTGTGTCACTTTCTTCACTATCGGAAGCGAATTATAATGATGAAGAATTTGATTTAAATCATATCAAAGATGGAGTACATCGAGATGAAATACTACATTTAGTAAGGAATTATAAGCCAAATAAAATAAAAACATCTGCCCTGAAGATAAGGATAGTGCTGACAGATCAACTTCCAATTCATTGCACGCTGTGGGGTTTAAGATAAACAAAGTTTAGATAAACAAAGGATATGCCTTTATCCATTTTTTGCAGCAATTCCACTTTTTGTTTAATGAAAAAAAAAAAAAAAAAAAAAAAAAAAAAAAAAAAAAAAAAAAAAAAAAAAAAAAAGAAAAAAAAAAAAAAAAAAAAAAAAAAAAAAGAAAAAAAAAAAAAAAATGGCTTCGAAACATACTTTCGCTTTGTAGATCCTTTACATGTTAGTAAATATATATCAGAAATTGTATTTGACATAATCGAAAGTTCAAGCTTATTTTTATAAAATTGCTCTAACAGTCTGCAAAAAATAATCAATTCAAAGATTAAGGAAAAATGCAATCTGCAACATCAACTGAATTAGATAATTTTAGCTTAGCTTTTACCGTCCGTTATACATTAAACGTGCATTTGTAAACGTATTTTGTGCACCCGCACACGCATATTCGCAGCCGTAAAGGTCTTACTTTCTGCGCATGCGTCAACGCGATGCAGAAAGTTTGTAGCTTTGAGGTCCGGATTATAGATGATTCCGGATTATGGGTGTCCGAATTAACGACTTTTGACTGTATTTATCATAAAAATTTATGAAATTGATTATAAACTTTATATTACTAAAAACTAAGTAAATAAAATATAAATAAATAAAAATAGACTTTAAAAGGAAAACATAAAATAACTTCAAAAACAAGCAAGAAATAAACTTCTTTTGAAATTTTAACACATTTAATAATTTTTTGACATTGGATCATTCTTTTTGAAACCTCATATTGAGCTTTTTGGTATGTGATTTATATATTTGGTGTAAATGTGGGGCTGATGTATTAGCACAGACAGAAATCACACCTTATTCTGAGTATTAGGTTTGTTTCATGATTAGCACAAAAGAAAACATTAATTGGGTGAGTTTATACAGGTAGATCGAGTATATTTTAGAAGGGGGATCACAACATTGGTTCAGTGTAGCCACCATCTCTTGCACGGTAAATGATAACAGCTGACCACCTACCTGTGGTCAGTTTAGATCAGTCTAGGTCTGGTTGCCTACGCGGGATCAGTAAGTGCCTTGCTGTAGCTCCATTGCAAGTGTTCAGCTTGACCACTTCTCTAAGACTCCCAAAACCAATTGACTGTGCTTACCTAGAGGTTTCCTACTGCAGATGTAGGCTGAACCATCTGGTGGAGGACCATGGCTCAATTTCCACAGCGTTCATCTATTGACACATGAGGACCTGCAAGCACGGAAAAATTAAAATGAAGGAGGGAAAAAAATATTTGAAAGCTGCAAAAAATAAAAAGTGTTGATGGGGGAAAGACACTTTGCAGTAGAATTATCTCAGACTGCAATTCCATCTGGTCAGCCAAAGTGGAAATTGCTTCAGTTCCTTCATGAGATCCCACTTATAGATATCGATAGAATCGATAGATTCTTACATCATAGCAGTCATGAGGCTTTTTTGACCACTTTCTAAGGTCCTGAGAACTTGGTCTTACCTCCACCTAAATTGGTTCCTTTTTATGTCTTCATTGATTCCTTGAGTGTGGAGCAATTTTATAATGATTATTGTATTGTCCTCAGTTCTGCTCTTGCACTTTGAATATACTCGCTTTGGCCTTTTTACGAATAGTCTCTTTCTTCTGGATTGTGGAGTTTAGGAATTCTTCTTCAAAGATTTCTTTGATTCTTTGGTCTGCCTTTTTCCTCATCTTTATGCCTGTCATCAACATGAAGGGAGTGAACTTGGTGGATTTGCTGATGGTGCTGTTGATGATTCATTGGAGATCAGGAACAAGCTTGAACCATTTTGTAGTTGACTGTGTTCTTGGTGTATCAAATTTTTTTTCTTGCCCCCAGTCAGAATGTACACATGTGTAAATGTACACATGGTACCCAGTCAGAATGTACACATGGTATAAATATAACTGTGTACAGTGTGTAAAATTTGGTACAGTTATAGAAATAAACATGTATTTTGAATTTACAAACAATTTCTGTAAAACATATTAATTAAATATGTATTTTATTCAACTACATCCTGAATAGTGGAATGGGTGAACCTATTCACTGTATATCTGAAATTCTGAAATCAACTTGTTGATAAAGACAGAAGAGAAACATAGCAAAGTAAAACATAAAACTGGGTAAAAAAACAAACTTGTTTTTGGTGTAGATTTTTTTCAAGCATATATTGATTTTAAGTCTTTAATTCTAATCCAGTTTTTCCCAACACTTTTAAATTTATTAATTCAAAATTTTCAGTTTTTGTTACTAGTCTTGCCAACAGATGGCGCTACTTTCTTATTTGCTTTACTGCTTTTAGGTATAAATATAACCGTGGCTTTTCCTTCATTGTAGATCTCTTTGCTCCTGATGAAGAAGGCCCTGTATGTGTTTGCCATCGAAATCGATAGATTCGTGACTAAAATGTACACCAAAACAAGGTTGTTTCTTTACCTGATTTTATGCGATTTGTTCATAATTGTTCTTATTTCCTTTTCAGTGTTGATTTATTCATGATACTCGATTTATTTCACTGCAACTGCCAAAAACCCATCTTCACACAGATCGGATAATGATTAGGTAGCTTTTTTATATGACAATGGATATTAATCTTTTATTGATATCCAAAATTCAGTTGTTGTATTCATCCATTATATTCAATTTTTCATTTAGTTTATGCTTTTAAATTGCCAGCTTGTTTCTTTAATTTTGAAAATCTTTCTTAAACTGCTTTAAACCACTGATGCTGAAATTGCAGATAACTCTTTGAAAATTGTAGATTGCTTTTATACAGTCAAAAGTCGTTAATTCGACAACCCATCCGATGATCTATAATCC